GTAGTATGAAAAATTTGAAGATGCATACATATGTACATACATGCATGCACATTAGGGTGGTCCTTAAATGAATGAAGCATAATTTTGAATCAGATTTCGTGAACCTCAATCCCTACGTCGGTGCAACTATAGGCGAATCACATATAAATTTTGCTCCCGCGTGGGGATGGTTAAGGCGCGTCGCACAGGCGGAAAAGTTCAAATTCCTCTATGGAGATATGATATATTTGTCCGTGGTACTATCGATTATGGGGTGAGACTGAGAAAAATCCTTCATTTGATTTTTAAGGAATACCCTACTTCACATACATATCGACACATACATGGAACATCGACCTATCTCGGTAGCCAGTTCGAAAACGCTCTATCTCAGAAAACTTCTGGAACGCCCTACTTCAGAATTTAATTGAGGAATGCGCTATCTCAGTTGCCGATTCAAAAACACCCTATCTCAGCCCATTTTCAATTTTGAATCCAATTATGAGATAGGGTGTTTTTCGATCAAATTCTGTAAAGCAGTGTAGTCAATGCCACCATATCCGCACCGTACGTTCGATTTTCCAAAATGAGGTGTCAAATTAAAAAGCTTGGACTGCAGATGTGCAATAAAGTCTTACTTTTTTGAAAAGAGCTGCCACCTTTTAAAAAATTATATTAAAATTATTTAAAAAAATAAATCAAGTATTACAAAATGGGCACCAATAGAAAGTATTTAAAAAACTTGGTTTCTGAATTTAGCTATAGGTTGCCAACGGTTTAAAAAATCAAATTTAATTAATTAAGGGAATTAGGTAAGCGGAATATGTATCACCATAAATATGGGTGCCACGCGAAAGGAATTTCAGAAGGTAATCGTCTGAAAATATTTTAAATAGGGTTGCCATCTGCTTGAAATATTGAATTTACTTAACTTATACATGAGTTATATGAAGTATCAAAATATGGATGTCAAACGAAAAAGTGTTAAGAAATCTCTTTGAATACTAAGAATACTTTTGAGGTGTTGGAAGAGGGTTGCCACCTCTTTCAAAGTTAAATTGAAATTATTTAATGATTATTCAAAATTGGGTATCAATCGAGTGGGGTTCAATAATCCTCTATTTCTGAACTATATTTAGTGGGATTACCACATGTTTAAAAAATCAAATTCAACTTAATTCACCAGTTAAATATTTAAAATATGTTAACAAGATTTCAGCTTGAAAATACTTTTGAAGATGGCCGCCACCTGTCAAAAAGTTTAATTTAATTAACTAATACTAAAATTATATAAAAGATATAAAAATACGGGATTCAAACGCAAGAGTGTTAGGAAATCTTTAGTTTAAACATTTAAAATATTTGAAGAGGTCTGCCACGCATTAAAAAACTAACAATCAAATTATTCAATAAATTGCATGAATTATTAAATGATGAGAATCGATCGAAATGGATTTGAAAAGGCTTTGTAACTGAAATATGTTTTAAAAGATCTAATTTTATTTGGATTAAAAATTTTATTTTTTAATTAAGGACTTTTCTTGTCGATATATAGGTACATAGGTCGCGTCAGCTGACACGGTGTACGGTTTTACTTCGATGGCTGCTTGAGCTCCTTGAATTAGCCAAATACAATTGTAGTATATGCATTAAGTGTGTTTTTTCTTTCTTTTCTCATTTATTTTAAAGAGAGTGGAAACACGTACGCTGACATTGTGTGGCACACCGGAATATCTGGCACCTGAGATAATTAAATCCAAACCCTACTCTACCAGCGTCGATTGGTGGGCCTTCGGCGTATTAATCTATGAATTCGTGGCTGGCAGTTCCCCATTTGCCGAATACAATCGGGACATGATGGCAATGTATGGTAAAATTTGTGATGGCACTTACAAAATACCACAAATGTTTCCACCAGCGCTAAAGGACTTAGTTCAACGATTATTGATTGTAGATCCCTCAAAAAGGTGAAATACGTAAAATTTGTCTGCTTATTTAAAAAAAAAAAAAAAACCTAAAATACGATTATCTTTAAAAAAAAAGGCTAGGCTGTATGGCTAATGCACAGAAGGATATTAAAAATCACGAATGGTTCAAAGGCATCGATTGGTATGGTCTATTAAACCAACAAATATTGCCACCTTATGTACCAGTTATCACAAATATGGAAGATCTTTCGAATTTCGATAAGTATACTGAAGATAAAAAGTCTACAAAATCGAAATCAAATAAATATCCGGAAAAATTCGCTGAGTTTTGATTGATTGATAAATTTACTATTTGTATTTTTTTTTTTGATTGTTGTGACTCGATAACTTACTATGTATGTTGCGATTATAAAATAAAATCAGTACAGTTAACACCAAATACTAGCAAGAATTTCATATAATTTGACTTTTCTTCATTTATTATGTACATATGTACATATTTATGTACTTACATTCAACATTTAAATAAGCCGAAGCACTTTGCGGATCTCCAATGCCATTCGTCACCTCGCACAAATATTGACCGGAATCGTCAGCGCTAACTGGATTTATAATTAGCGAACCGTCTTTGCGTATTGTGACGCGCGTCTCCAGTGAGGCCACCTCCCGTACGGGAGAGCCCTCGCGAAACCATCTAACGGTGACATTGCCGGGCATTGCTTTCGCTTCGCACGAGAATATCACCTTTTCGCCCTCGAGTTTGGTTTGATTAGTGGGCGGCACCTGTGAAAAAAAAAAAAGAAAAGAAAAATTTTTGTTATAGGAAGAAGAGTATGAGCATTTCTTTTTTTAGTAGAAATACATGTGTGGATCTAGTAAATTATTGTAAGGTTAGGTAAAACATAAAGATTCTGTTAATTTCAATATTGTTATTAGCAGGTTGAAGATGGAATAAAAAAATTAAGAAAGATGATATATGTATGGGTATTTCCATGATGTCGGACGAGACATTCCTACCTCTCGTTTGAACTCATTTAATTGCATTTTCCCGTCAAAAACAAAAATTTTTGGAAAATATGTACTGTTTGATATCCATACTTTATCTGTTTTATTACACCGGAACTAATTGAGAGTGATTTTATAAAACCTGGTCATATTTTCACATCACTATTAGCATTACTAATAAAATCAATCAGTGGAAAGCCACAAATAATGATGGCGGGAACTCATACACCAACTCATTCAGTTCCAATTTTATAAAGCAGCACATTAAACAGGCGCATATTATGTACATACATACTTATGTAATTAAATTATTTACGGCATTGCATGAAAATGTCATAATGCATAATGCATAGCCAGGGTGACCATCCGTCCTGTATTATACGGGACAGTCCTCTTTTTTTGATCCCTTGTCCTGGTAATTTATTTATTTTATACGAGACGCCAAACGTTCCGTATTTATTTTAATGCCCTGTATTTGTCCCGTGTTTGTCGGTGTTCCGACGCCTTAACAGCCAGGGCTACCAACTTGGCTCAAACCGTGCCATTTTGACAATATTTTACATCAAATAGCACTTAATTTTTCAACTTGGCACAAAGTGCCGAAACACTCTAGAAAATTTCCTTAAAAATGCGACTATAAATCGAGTACATTTTTTTTTATTTTTAAAATTTACGGTAAATTTACACGACGAATATGTATTTTTCTCGTTTACACATTTTCGTGTGTAAAAATCCTTTTTGTTAGCGGCTTTACACAATTCTGCGGATGAAATCAAACAGCAGATGTGTATTTTGTAATTTGGTTAACAGTTTTGTAACTCATTAAAATTGAATACAGTAAAGTGCGAGCGGAAAGTGTTGCTCATGTTTCCAAAAAAACAACGGCCGAACATACTTACTCTGTATGAAATAAATGCGTCACCAGAAAAATTGCCAAAAATTAATGATAAGCCTTAGCGACTTAAAATAGCACTCTTTTATACTAAAATTTAACAAATTTTTTTTAACAAATTTTACGGGGTAAAAATCTCGAGAAAATTATCCTATAAATGTAGGATACTAAAAGGATACTGTTTCAGGGCTAATACATCTAGAATCATTCAAGAAGGCTTTAAGATCTGTAAGCTGTCGTGGAAAAAGTTTGCAAAATTATTTTTTGCCCCGTATTCGGCTATCATAAATATGGTCACCGTATGCATAGCGTGCATTAGACGCTTAGTGTGTGTGGTCCGCCTAAACCGTATGTAACGCGTCGAAGTCTAATGTACATTGTATATATGTACGTACTTAAAAATATTTTTCGGTCAAAGCTATTGCAAGCGAATCAAGTAGCATCTGTGGACTTAAAAGTTTGTGTGGAGGCTCATTTGTCAAATGCCCGACACCATTTTCTACAATGACCAGAGGTTGCAATGTTGCAGTGACGTAGCCAGGGGGGCATCTATCCTCCAATCGTCAACGAAATACATTTTTTCCTTTTGAATTAATAACACAATACTATTTCATCCTTCTGATTTATAATTTTTTTATTTGAGACTTACAAATCATCTTTAATGAATATTGAGCTTATACATACTAGTCTTTTCAGACCTTTTGCGAAATCCACTAGGCTTAGCTGCCATGGTGTGTTAGTGCTGCCAAATTAGAGCACAAAATCATGGGATACTCTGATTGGCTGGATGCTGAGTCTCGTATCATGTAATCTATGTACATGATTCAATAATTAAAGGTTAAAGGGGAAGAATGAAATCCCTTGTTGCGAATATGTTAGTGGAAAAGTATGCAAAGAAGGCACTTAGTAGTGAAATTCCTTTTGTAAATTTTAAGTGTATTTGCAAGAAATTTGGCATTTTAAATGAAATATTGAAAGAAATATTAAGGCATCTACATGAATTACGCAATTTATGGGCTATTTAACGGTATAAAAGGTGCGAAAGAGCTCAAAATTAAAATAAAACTACTATGAGTTTTATGTAAAAATCAAATCTAAAAACAATTTATGTTTTCATCAGTTAAAAATATATATATGCATATACAAATATACATATTGTACAAAAATGTATAATTCCCTTTCACATGAAAGCTACACTTTTTCAAGTAAATTTGCAAAGAAGCAAAACGATGCCACACTGCTAAGGAGGCGGTGCGAGAGAGAGACAACTGTCAGTTTATTTAACTCTTAGTTATTGAATCATGGTCTATGTACATATATACCAGTCAAGTATGGAATTTCAAAATCTCAAATTATGCCTAATGGCCTGCAAAAATAGTACCGAAAAAGAGATGAAAGTACCACAAAGTTTAAATTACTTCTTTTTAAGGCTTTTTAAGAGCAATATATTTTCAGAAATAATAAGTAGATACACGGAAATAATATAATAATTATTAATTAATTGAATTACACTGTTCGGCAGTCGACTGGGTAATTGACGAAGGCAAGTTTTTCTAAAAGTGGGGATTATATATAGAAAAGTAATTTCTCAGTTTTCTCAGGCTGGCGATTTTAAGCGTTTTTTTGTTTTTTTAATTTGAATCCTCGATATTCCTTTTTCAAGTGGGTTTGCTGTTGAGAATAATACCAACGTATTTCGCTCCAGAGGAGATGTTCAAAAGAGAACTTTCTCATTTCGTCAGAGAATGGGTAATCGTTTTTGTTTTCTTATAAACTAGACCAGTTCTTATTGACCTATATAGGGATTGTTGGCAAAGGTCACAACCTTCAGTTCTCTTTGTATCAACTGAATTTGGCCCTAGGCCGATTTACAAGATGAGATAGTTGGAAACGCTTGATCAGATCTGCGGCCAAACGACTAACTGTCCCATCATTTTTTGTATTGTTGAAAAGTTTTCTGAGTGAGGACGGGGTATCGAACTGGCTGCCGAGATAGGTCGATCATTCACTAAGGTATCGATATGGAACATAGGTATGTATGTATGTGTAACTTCGCTTAATCGTAACTCAACTAACATTAATAACGGAAGCTTCCAAACGTTTAGCCAACTAATTATTACCTTAAGCATAGACTGATCTGCTTATAATGATACATATTTACATACAAAAATATATATTTTTTTGGAAAACTTGATCTACATATGTATGTACATATATGTGTATCTCTTTAATTTACCACATTGTCCATAAATGGTTTATCGCATGCTCTTCATTACCTCCGTTTAATTGTTAACTCTAGGCGTAAAAATTGTAAATTGCTTAGCTACTCTAGCGTATAATTAAGCGTTAAGCAAAAATTTATGCTTGTCTATAATGTTTACATACCAGTTTTGACTTATTAAATTTACTAGTTATGAATGAATATACATATTTGTATGGTTCTCAAACCGACACGTGCCCACACACAGTTTGACTAAGTCATTAGCTGTGTAGCTATGCGGGAATACAAAACCCTATGTTGTAATTAAATCTGACAGATAAATTACTAATTTATCTATGTGTGCACTTAAAAAAGTGTTTAGCTCTATTATTTACATGAATAATGCACAAGCGGTATATTACCAAAAACAATTTTATATACCAGGCTCAGCTATCAAATATCTTTGTTTCAGCTTTTTCTAAACTAATAATACTCTGACTTAATCATTGAACCACTTTTGGTAGAAATCGACAGAGCGGCTACCGAGATACGCCTTTGTAGTCATATAGTGGGCGACGCCAAGCCCAATTCCTAAAAGTCTCTAACAATTTTATTTTTTGGTAAGAGATAGTTGTAGGTATTAACTTGGAGTAAATGTCGGAGTTTTCGTATCCATAATTTCTAATTTTGATAGAAGGAAACCGAGAAGATGCCATAAATTAGAAAAATAAAAAAAAGTTCTTTAATAAAAAATTGTAAACAGAAAAAATCTATAGTTTTTATTAACCAAAAAAAGCTATTGGTAGATATTTTCCAGATTTAGTAGATTTTTTCAAGCGGATGGTAAGGATTTTTTTTCGCCGGTGGAAACCCTGCTTACAATCATTTTTCAACAGATTTTTAGGGTCACTCGAGACCCCACGCGAATAATTGTGTAATTTTCAGTATGCGCCTAATTAAGGGTTAAGTAACACTCATCATGCCCCTGCTGGGGGCCAATTCATGTTCTGTGAAAACGTAAAATGAAAACATTTTTCAACACTTCACATAAAATTACGATTCTGTTTTCAAATGTATGTGTATTAATTAATTTGTCAAAACTTTTACACTGTGAAAATTTTTTTTCACAAAGTTTTGTGGGTGTGAAAAAGAAAAGTTGGGCGTTTTTCTCAACCAAACCATCATCTTGTGATAAAGAATACCATTGTCTTTAACTCATAATAATTTACTAAATA